TTTTTATATACTTTATAATTGCCCTGCTCCACATATTGTAAACATTTTTTAAATGCTGTTCAAAAGCTTTCACTTTAAAATAGTTTCCAGGTAGTTTTCTATTTGATCGAAGTTTTCAAAATAGCAGCCATAAGAAATGTCACATTATTTTCTAAACTTCTGTCAATAGTACATAGGCAAAATAGATACATATTTGTAGCAAAGAGAAAAAAGCAATTTAATGACTCTTTCTTTCTATGACAGGTTTTTGAACTAGCACTGATCTTGGTGCAAAATTAAATAAATATTTGGACTAAATTAAAATGCATGTTAAAAACTGTGAGCGAGGGTAATTTTGCCAACTAAAATACTAAACAAGGGAAAATAATTTTCAAATTTTCATTGTGTCCTTTAACAGCTGTGCACAATTATTAAGTATGTTTTTATATCTTTGGGCAATATTTACAGTTTTAACTTTCTAGAATACAGCTCAGAGTATTAAGTTTAGGGTTTTCAAAAGACGTGTCTGTGTCCTCTGAATTCTTACAGATGCTTGAAATCCCCCTGTAGGTACTGAAAGACTGCAGTGAGGTCTCCCCAGAGCCTTCTCTTCTCCAACTCTCTGTCTTCATAGGAGAATTGTTTCAGCCTTCTGATCATTGTGATCATTCTGATCTTTGTGGCCCTCCTCTGGGTCCATTCCAATAGGACCACGTTTTTTCTGTGCTGGGGTCCCCAGAGCTGGATGCAGCACACCCAGTGGGGTCTCATGAGAGTGGAGTAGAGGGGCAGAATCGCCTCCCTTGACCTGCTGGTCACTCTTCTTGTGAACAAGCAAGAAGATTTGCTTGAGTGCAGAATGGGGAGCTGTTTAAACTTCTTTCTTTGACCCCATCATGAATAGTTTACAGCACAGTAGCTCAGGTTCAATGGAAGAAATCGAGAATTTCACCTTCCCCCTGCTTTCTAACCTGCTGAAGAGGCCAATGTGTTGTGATGCAACAAGTATGAGGCAGAATCACATCCAACCAAGACCTGTCTTCCATGCCACAAGGGGAAATTCTCTAATAGAACTCAGGCTGTATATCAAATATGGTCTCTAATAAACACCTCTGCAGTGGTTGTATTTTAAAGGAAAATTATGAGCTCTGTTGTCAGCCTTTGAAGATATATCTTAAGCAGCAGTTTCAACCCTGTACCAAAGATGGGTGCCAAGTCTCTGAGAGAAATCAAATTTCTGACACAGCAGTCTCAACAGTATTTTCTGTGGAATAGCTTCAGTATTGCCATTATTCTTAGCTGACTAATGTGCTCTAGGGCACTTGCAAGTGTCATCCAGACTGAAGTTCTCATTGCGGGGGCCAGGTAACTTCAAGTTAAGGCTAACATTGCTGTGTCATAATATTACTTCCCTTTTTGGGCTGTAGAATTTTATTTTGAAGTAGTAACTAGGATTTTCTTTCCTTCTGTAAACATCTTTCTGAAAGGATCTAATAAACCTGCTACACAGATGATTGAGCTTTGCATGTGGATTGCTGTTTTCCTCCTTTAAAACTGCCTATATGTCACTCTAATTAAAGCCTGGCAGGTCATTAAATTGCTAGAATGAAGAACCAGCATGATTTTTTAATCCTTATTTGGAGGACCTTTTTCAGTTTAGAGTACTTTCCTTCAGTATCAGTGAACCAGTAGGAAGTCATAGAGATTTATCCTTTTTCCTCTGCAAGGAGTGTCATGTTTCAGAGTGCTGCTGCCGCTTGCTCACCACAAAACACAAACTCAAAGTTTACAGAACTCAAAGCCTTTTTTATTAACAGCAGATGTAAAGTAGTCCTGTCCAAATGCCAGGGTTTATTTGATAGCAGTGATATTTCTGATACCATATCTATGTTGAATAAATTGTCTGTCTTTTTTATTAAATGTCTAGGAGAAATATTTGCATGCTGAACAGATACACTAATTACCTTTTTTATTTTTTTTGGAGGGTGTGATTTCCTGAGAGTGAATGATGACAGTTTGACAGGTACTCAGAAATATCAGTGGAAGATATGGGCATGTTTGAAATGGGAGCATAAAGGAGCTAATAACTAATAGAGGTTGATGGGGAAGAGGGAAGCAAAAGACGTGGAAGCAAAATGGTCTTTTTTCTTTGAAATGGTGTATGATACTACAGGATTGGCTGGCATTACAGAATCCCTGGGCTGTTGCAAATTAAAATGGTTTTGAAGTTGTTCAAGTCAACCATTTCATAATCTGTGTCAGAAAAAAAAAAGCTTTTATGTGACAATAATGTTTCTGGCATGATATTAAGTAATTTAATCTAGTTTGATGAGTTCCATGCCCTGATTACTTATAGCCATGAAAGATTATGTATATATCAGAGAAACAGTTTTCCAATGTGTATGTTTATTTTCCTTGTTGACTTTATAATGCTGGTGCTTTGCTTCTATCTTTACTTCCACTTCATCCAAGGAGTTCATTTGAGTAATTTGTTTCCACACAGAATGCCTTTCAAGAAAATCACAGAAACATTGAATTGTGCAGGTTGTAGAAGACCTCAGAGATCACCAAGTCCAGCAATTAACCTAACACTGTCAAGTCCACCATTTAACCATGTCCCTCATTTCCACATCTGCATCTACACATCTTTTAAATACCTCCAGGGATGATGACTCTACCCTTCCCTGAACAAACAGTCTGTCTCAATGTTTGGTGGTGATTTCTGGGAAGAAGTTTTTCTTAAAATCCAATCCAAACTTCCCCTGGTGAAACTTGAGTCCATGTCAGTTTCTTTATAAATGCAACATGTCCACTTTCCTCCCACCAATAGATCCACAGCCTTTCTTTAGGTAGCCGAACCTACACTGAGAGTACAGTTGCCTTATTCATGTCACTGGCTCATCCTGCTCTGATCATGGAGCACAGGGTGACACTGTCCAGGCAAGCTTTTGGAGACCTTTGCTCACAGAGGTGAAAGTGGGATGGCCCTGCTGAAACATGGGACTGCTGAGGAGGAGGAATGGACCCAGCATCTAAACATTTCTGGTTTCTGTGAGCTGGTGTACATGCTTCAGCAAAGAAGACATGGCTATATCAGCAGAGCGTGTTTGTCTTTGGCTGCTGTTTGACACTTCCACTTGCAAAATTGTTACAGCTGGAGTTGTACGCAAATGATTTCTTTATTATTCATAGCAGCAGGTGCTGCAGCAGTCTTTTGGCTAGAGTTGTACTCTCTCGGTGTGTGGTTTCTACATATTTGATTAGCTGGTGCCATGCTGTTCAGATGGGTTGCTAGTCGTCCAATAAATGTATTTTGTTACACAATCAGTTATATAGTGCCTTATCATTTCCATAAATCACTTTTAGTTGGCAGCTTTCTGTTGCCACTTGAGATTGTTCCAGCAATAATTTGCATCCTTTTTTTGTATGGCATCCTAAAAAGATCTTGGAAGTTAACATAGCCTGGGTATGATTTTAATAGCTGGTGTCCTTCTGGCAGCACTAGAACACACAAACCAGTTATCCACGAAGGACTGACATATTTATTTTCGATTCACATATCATTCATGTATTCTTCAAGAAGTGCTTATCCAAAGATTCAGTATAGCAATTTAGGCATCAACCAGGTTTATGCCAGAGTTGTGATTCTAAAAATCAGGTGCCTGTCCCCAGGCAGGGTGATAAACAGCACTGCAGCTCACTGAGGACTGGAGAGACAATATGACAATTTCCTACTTCTCTGTGGAAATTAGATACTTTGCCACTAATGAAACATGATTTAGACTCAGCTACTCATTATCTTCCCATCAGAAGTGACCACTCCACTTGATCCCTGCTGGCTAAAGATAGGTCAACTTCAGCTGCTGCTAAGGCAGACCTTGCAGTGGAGCAAGAGGCTCTTTTAGAATGAAATTGCCTTGCAGAAGGAAAAAAAAAAATGTAGCCTCGCTGTGCTTTCCCTATTATTAAGAGAGATGCCTAATCAATTTGGTTCCATGCTCAGAGAAGGAATTTTCCAATATCTCAGTAAAATTCTTCATTAAATAAAAGGTAAATAAAAAGCATGTTTTTATAGACAGATTCTTATCTAGGCTGCAGAAGCAATACTGACTGAAGAGATAACAGAGCACCTGGTGCATGTGATGGAAAGGTGCAGATGGTTGTCCATGTGGGGACAAGCAGATAACAGGAACAGGGTGTGTCACTGCAAGGCACAGGAATGTCTGTCTTTTCAGCTGCCTGCATATTGGGCACACTGGTACCTGGAGGAATCAGTTCACCCTTCTGTTTAATTAAGAAAAATTAGGTGCAGTACCACCCATTATGCTAGTTTCATTTACGGCCTGCATTGCTGACAGTGGGTGATCTATGAAAGGAAATGCATTTAATCACTGTCAACAACCTCCTCATCTGAGCACTGAAAGCTATTAAAAAGAAAAGTAATGGACCAAGAGGTGCATCCAAGTGTGGTGTTAATGGCATCCCTTTCATTTAGCATGGCAAACCCAAAGAAGCAAGATGAAAAATATGAAGAAAACAACATGGCAGGTCAGTTTGGCATGAGCCTCAATCAGAGCGACCCTCTCTTGGTCACAGATGAGCAGGAAACAGACATCTACCTTTCCAAGGCACAGTGTCCTGTTTCTTGCCCATCAGTAGAGCTGCCTACACAACTTTTCAGCAGCCTGTCTGCTCCCTGAGCCCCACCAGCATCGCAAGGTCCTTTCAGGCACGTTCCAGTGTGTTGCACCTTATATACCCTTGTGACACATAATCTGCTTGTAGAGTGTGCTCCTAGACTCACTCACTGCAGGACAGATGAACCTGACCTGAGAATGGGAGCCAGGTTGTCATTAGCAAGCAAAACTAGCTATTGTGCATAATTTTTATTGATAAGCTCTGGATTTTATGCTTTGTGTAAGGTAGTGACCATTAATAATTACATTGATTGTCATCTTGAAATGTGGAACTTATTTGAAGGAAAAAATTACCATTATTAAAGAAAAATCACTTTCTTACAGATGCTGTTTCAGAAGCTGTGCAAGGAAAAAGCAGGTAAGGCTGAATTACTTCTTAGAAGTTTCTTGGTGGCTTGTGTAACCATGTGTGCAATGATGGGGGACCCAGGGAGTCTCTGCTATGAAATGGGTGTTCAGTGCACTCGTGACAATCTCTTCCATGCTGCTGTTCATGACCTATTGGTGTAGGATTAAGGTGGTTCTTAGGAAAGCTGATAATTCATCACCTTTTGACTTACACCTTGCAAGGTAAGTTCTGAAATAATGGGGGTAAACCCAAACATTTGTTACTGGTGTCAGAGTGGGACTGAAGTCTTGCCATGGCACTGGTTTGTGTGTGTGTGTGTGTGAGAGAGGTGAGCCAAGATGAGGAACAGCTCAGAGCTTTTTCTGTCTCAGCAGTCACTCAGCAGCTGAATCTGATGAAGAGGCTCATTTACAGAGGCATATTTTTCAAAAAATCCAACAGCCCCCTGGGACCCACATGTCCCAGTTGGCAGAGTCACAATGGCTGATTTCTCCCTTAGCAGGATCCCACTATCTGGTTAAAGCATTTTTCAATATTAGCAGCATTAGTGAGTTTGACCATTATGGAGGCATTATTTAGGGCCAGCAAGGCACCAAGACCAGAGCAGAAAAGAGAGCTAAAGACTCAGATACCCTGAACTGCACATACATTATCATGCCAGGAGCTAAGGAAAGGTTTGGATAGACAGATATGTACACACACAGAGATCCTGGTTCAGCAAGATACTTAACACACAATTAAACCCGCATTTGACAAAACCAATTAATTGCAACAGGCATAAGAAACTGCTTGGATGATTTGCTTAATTGAGAGTAAAAGTCTTTATTAAATTGTAATGAAGCACAATTAAGAAACACAGAGAAAAGGAACTGCTTCCTAGAATGTGGGTTACTGGGGTTTAATAAGAGCCTCAAACTTTTGCAAAAAGAAATGTTCTCAAAGTCTAGATGAATCCACCTTCCCACAAAAGTCTTTGCCAGCTAGAAGTATTTCAGTCATAAACCAAATGACCTCTGGAATCACCCATTTCTGACTGCATTTTCTGTTTTGTTAGTCAGGATGTATGCAGAGTGTGCCAATTAAAAGGAAAGCAATTGGACATCACTGCTGTAATTACTCCTCTGTCCCTAGATGACTTAGCATCTTTTTTTTTGCCTGAAGGACTAGTTTAAGCCAGTTTGCTCACTCAGTAATTTCTTCTTGCATCTGTCTCTGATCTAAACTGCATCCACAGTTCATTCCAGGGGCCAACCTTGAATCATTTAAAATCAGATGAATGCGGCTTTTTGGAGTCAATTTCACTGGTTCAGTGGCTCTGCTGGCAAACATAGTGGCTTAGCAAAATGACAGAAATCCTGGCCTAGAAAACTCAGGTCTCTGTAGGCAATTCCACCCTCATGTACTTTAATTCAGGTCAACAAAACATAAAGGCTGCTGAGCGTAGTGTAAATGTATGTATTTTCATTGAAGCTCTATACACATTAACTTTTCCTGCCTTATGATTTGGATGTGGATTTATTCCATGATGGTATTTGCCAATGAAACACATGCCTGGGTTTTTCCAAAGCTAAACAAATTTCAGAAGTTCTGAGATTGATTGAGCAATTGTTTTAATTGTATTCATTGTTGGATCAAAACCTCTCTGTGCCACTGAAGGCTGGCACTTTATAAAGAAAAAGGAAAACCTGTCAATGGCACATGCATTTTAAATAAAATTAATTATTTTAGCAGTGTTCCCATTTTATTGTATGATTGATTTTTGTTTTACTTTAATGACAATATTAATTTTGTCACCCAAAGAGATAAAATTTAGTGCCTGTCCTAATGGTAGAACTGTAGGATGATGGTTGAAAATCTGATGATTGCAGACATGAAAGAAGAATGACAGGTCATTTTCTGACACAGTTTGGTCACTGAGGTGAAACTTTAATCATAGAAATCTAGCATATGGTAGAGCTGGTAATAAATTTATCATTAAAATGCTTTTGGCAGAAAATGTTCATTTCTTCAAATAGAACATTTTACAGGAAAGGTTAGCATCCATTAATCTGTTTCAAATTGTTTCTGTAAAATAGGAACACACTTCTCAGCATGCAATTATTTAACAGTCTTCAAAGTGAGAAGTGTTAATTTTTATTGAAATTTGAAATTTTGGCATTGAAATCTGTTACACTGAAATATTAAAAAAAAAGAGAGATAAAAAGAGAAAACCTGATTTAAATTATAAAAAAGGGAAAATCTATGTCTTGAGCTAAGAGACAAGGGTTTCTTCCAGACTCAGCCACACACAGAACACAGCACTCACTGTTCTACTCAGGCTTGTTTTCTGCATCACTCTCCCCTTACATCCTGACTTCTTATTCTTTCTCATTCTTTTTTGTCATTTATTCTTCTGATCCCTTTCTTGGCCAGAGCTCTAGAGCTCTCAGGGGCCAAGAGGGTCTTTTCCCAGAGTGCCAGTGCGTCACCCTGCCCTCCCCACCAAAGAACATTTATAATCCCATCCTGGACAATCCCATCCCATCCTGTCAGGAGCTGGGGATGCACAGGGCAGCTCAGAGCTCCTGCAGCCAGGGTGGAGACTTCTGCAGTCCTTTCCCCAAGGCTGGGCTGTCTTCAGCTTCCAGTCATTCTCTATATAAACCATTTTTGCATGTGAGAGGGAAGAAACTGCCCTTTGGAATGCTGTTCTCTTTCACAGCATGAGCTGGTGGCTGCCTGGGGAATGGGGCAGACACAGGAACAGAGGTCAGACAGCTCCAGGATGAGGCCTGGGGGGTCAGGGATGGGCCAAGGATGGGATGGGATGTCAGTCTGCAAGTTGGATCACATGGCTGGGCAGGGCTGTGGCAGAGAACAGCCCTGCCACAGCATCGTGGGACTGGGATGGACAGCTCTGGTTTGGGCTGAAATGGAGTTCCACAAAGACTTGGAAATTCATATATTTACATAATTTCACGCTGTTAAATACAATGTTATTTGGACTTAGATCTAGGCGGCAAATGTGGTGTTGCCCACACCCTTTAAGATGTAGTTAGGAAAGTGCAAGTGACAGGTGCAAGAGAGGACAAGCAGTTTGTAGTGGAAAAGTTGGTTTCACCCAGACAGGCTCTCCCTTGGCCTGGGGTGAGCAAGTTCTCTCTTGGCTTTCTGTGGAAGTGGTAGACTGGAAGGCAATTCACATTTGTTCAGCTTGTATATGATGGCATTAATAAGCAAGTGTTACAAATACATAAAAAATACCCTGTTCTGTGGCTTTACCAAGACCTGTGAAAACATCAGATTTATCCACTGAACTCTGCTTTCTTTGGGAATGAATGTGGCTATCCTGGTGGTACCTGAGGTTTCAGCCATTAAACCACATTCCTGCTCTCATTAATAGATGATGCCATCAATAGGACTGCCCCAGTCCCATCTCCATGCAACAGACCATTCTGTTCAAGTCGTCATCATCATCAATGCTTTTCTTCTCATATTGCCAGGTACATAACACCAAACCCAGTCTGCACCACCTATCTCTTCTGCCCTTGCAGTGTAGGAGGTCCTAATTGTCTGCTGTGGCACCCCAGAGAGCACCATGCTTAGCTGCTCCTCTTGCCATCAGTTTGCTGCTGGGTTTGTAGGTAGCCTGTGGTAATCACTACTAAAACCTGGCTGACTAATGCTGTGTGTCCTTACTATCCCCTAGTATGTGTCTTAGTAAAAAACATTCCACTCAGATTGAGCATTCTAGCTGCCTAATGTATTTTAAAGTTATCACCACATAGCTCAAGATGACTAACACAGAGCACACTTCATCACTGGTAGGGAAAACGAGCCCTCACTTTGCTGGCAAAAATTTGAAGTCGGATTAAAAGCTGACACATCCTCTATTTTAGTGGTATGTATGAAACACTAAATATAGCAGTGTGCTCATGTATTTGCTGATGCATGGTAATGTAGTCTGTAGCAGAGCAGCAATGGGCTGGCAAGGAAGATGGTGCACTGCAGTAATACGATAAAATCCTCATGTGACCTTGGCCATTTCAGAAGTACTCCACGGATAATTGTGTATCCTTGACTGATATAATGCAAAATTCAAACAGGGGCACCAGTGGTCCCAGGGCTTTAATGAGCAGCCTGATACTGCAATATTTGCCCAGGCATAATGCAAATGGGAGGAAGCTGCAACTCCATCTGGCTCTTGTTAGAAACTGAAGGTGCTTGATTCATCGCAAAATCAAACCTGAGTACAGAACTTTCAGCTGATTACGTATTTTTTATGTTTCCTTAGTCATAAAAGGTTTTATGCTCATGGTTTTATTTTACCTTTGCTGCAGTCCCTGGGCAGGAATTATGGGCTAATCACACTCTGAACAGGGAAATGGATGTGGCTCATAGAACCGTATCCTATTCTGGGATTTTCCTCTTGCTTGTGAGGGGATGGAGGTGATCTCTTTAAGCTTTTCACTTGCCATGGATGCCTGGCAAGTGTGCTGGTGGTGGAGCTGAGGCTGTGACTGTGAAACCTCTCTTATCATCTTCTTCAGGGGGGAGTAGCAGCTGGATTAGACATTTAGCAGTGCCTTGTGTCTCATTCTGTCATTACTCCACCTATAAAAGTTTATCCAAGATGAAAACCTGATCTTAAATAACTGTAGAAAATAAAACACCCTTATCCAATGATCCCGTGCACTTACTAGAAAGCAGAGCAGGGTCACTTTGACATGTTTCCAGAACAAAGTGGAGGTGCTTGCTTTGGACTGAAAAATGAACAGGCTGTTTTCCTAAAGAGTGAAAGTAAACTACCAAATAAACCCAGCTGTTTGGTGACCTTGGCCTCTTAACTAGTTATGCTCTGTGGTGTTCAAATTAGAAGCAGGTAGAGTTGGTGCTTGTCCTGCAGTCAGTGCATCAGAGGGTCATTTCATTTGGCTCCAGTTCTAACTTTTCTGCAGTGCCAGTTTGGCTTCCAAAATTAGGCAGTGAGATTGCCTCTTCCTTTCATAATCAGAAATGATAGAACAAAG